GTCATCATATGTTGTCTTTAACCAATTAGTTTACTAATATAGAAAATACTTAAAACAACAAAACTTACCATTTTCTATAGATTATTCACTTTAAGTTTAAATCATACCATAAAAATAAAAACTCACAAAACTTTGCAGCCATTGAATAAGTTTGTTGGACTATTTGTGCTGTGCCCACCATGGGTATCGAAACCCGGGATATAAAATTAATAATAAACTCTACATCAGGTTAATATTTATTTTACAAATCACTAAATGTATTCAATTAGACCATAATTATAATACAATATCTATACACAATATATTTAATAATGAACTCTCCATGTGTATACCATACTTTAATTAGTTTTACTGAAATTTAAGTCAGCAAACATAGTTATTTGCATAACGTTTAAATGATTAATTAATTACTCAGCATACGATTATTACATAATTACATATGGTGTCTGAAAACTATCAGAGTGCTTCAGTCCACTTAGAATAAACTGAAAGTTCTATTATACTTAAATGTGTAACATTTATAATATATTTACAGAAACTTTTATTAAAATCAAATTAAATTATAACACACTGTTGCTATCTGTATATTTATAATATATTTAATTTTTATGGAAAACTTTTATTGAAATTAAATTTAATTATAACACTCTGTAGCTATCTATATATTTATAATATATTTAATGTTTATGGGAAAGTTTTATTAAAGTAAAAATCAAATATAATAATCTGTCACTGGCTACATATTTACACGACATACAGCAAATGTGCAGGCTGTTTCAGTTGGCTTAGAACAATTTTTCAAAAGGAAAGATTGATTCTACTTAAATTTATGAAATTTCATTATTTTTTTAATTATCTCGTAATTCGAAACAATGTTGTTATATATTCGACGAAGATTTCAAATACTGTACGTTGAGATCAATGACCAGTTTTGATTTATCTAACAGCAGGAATAAATTTATTTTACAACACTTTTTAACCCAAAGACAGGACAAAGGTTTTTTGCATAAACATTTCCACCATGATTTATTACACTGACAATCAATGTCATAACAATTACACACAGAACATACTAATTGTCTAAAATATCTTTGGGGAATACCAATCACCATGTTGACATCCCCCTTTTAAAAAAACAATTTTCCATGTATTATGTTACAAACTTTGCAACTGTCTTTTGTTAACACTAAAAATACACGAGTCATATGACTAGATTTAATTACCATTATTTTAACGACTGTCCGCAGGATTTTAACAAACCAGTTGTATTGCTTTTACAAGTAAAATATACAAAAGCACTATTTCACCTTTATGTCATTTGTCTAGTGATTCATTTTGCTACAACTAAAAACAATAAATGAATGACTTACTGTTTATCCATACGTTTTCTATTTAAAGTTAACAAAACATTGAAACTAACTTGTAGACCCATATATGTCATTATCATTGAAAGCCATTAAATAAGATTATATTTAAAGTTGTGTTTGATCAGTAACATTTCAGACAAACTTTGACACTGCTCTATTCTTAGGTGGTCATCACATGGTCACTGACGCATAACAGTTGAAGGGCTCTATAATAACTGCCGTATATACTTGTTTTAGGATATTTAGTAAAGTTCACTGTAGGAACAGGAATATGTCTTGTCACATTATCACACAGTTCTACTTAAATTACAATTATTTAAGGTTTTATATTAAAGAATAAATGGTAACTAGTACAGAATGGAGACACATTTACATTAGTTTTGTGATCATTGATGTCTTTTGACGGTAAATTAGTGAAGTTATTGTTACAATAATGTTATTTTTACGGGTGAAAAAAAATGTTAGAGACCAGGTGTTTGACGACATCCTAGAGGTTTCAGTCTAAATAAAAGTAGCAGACAAATACAGAGATAATCGGAGTTTCCTCTAGTACAGACCTACAAAAAAACTTGTACTCTATCTAAACATACGCTGACTTTCTTGAACATATAAGTCTATCGTTGATGGAGGACCTAATGTCCAGTACTCGAGTTCATAGTGTCGGCTGGAAATGTATCAAAGTATCGGTTAGAATATTATATCAGTTATTAATGTACTATAATATTAGATATGACATTTCTAGCTGGCTGGAAATGTATCAACATGTATATAATGTATCTGTTAAAACACCACACCAGTTATTAGCTTCAGATACCACATTTCTAGCCTGCTGGAAATGTATCAAAGTATCAGTTAAAACGGTACTTACTACTATTGAAGACAAGACAACACATCAGTTTTAATCTGTAGGGGAGTGGTATGTGAAGGTCAGCACCAAGGGGGACAGACACTTTACTTTTCCAATGTATGAAATGTTTTGTATAGTTTCTAAAATAAGAAAAAACAACTTTGAATACTCGCCCTTTTGTTTCATTTATGGTAAGTAATAATCTACTTGAACAAGTTGTATGTCAGTGACCACATGACGACCACCTAAGAATAGAACAGTGTCAAAGTTTGGCTGAAATTTTACTGATCAAACACAAATTTGAATTTTATTCTTATTTAGTGGCCCCCAGTTGCACAGCGGTATGTCTCCGGACTTACAACGCTAGAAACGATTATAGTAATTGATGCTTTGTATGTATAATAATATATGACAAAGACCAAATTGTATAATTCACGTAACTGAAAACTTTAATGACTTGGTTTATATTTTATGGTTCTTGGACTAGCTAACAAGATATTGGGAAAGAATTTGCCATTCTAATCCTATGGATTTTCTACCAAGCATGTCAGTAGCCTTGAGTATCAAACACTTCCGACTGTGACCACATATACTTAATCTGTGATTCATCATGCTTCTTTATTTATATTTCTTCAACTCGTGTGTTTTCGTCAAACTCTGCTCTACTTTTACATTGCAACACAATAAGCACTTACTTTGCACCTTCACTAGGCTTGATCAACTCAGAACTGACCTTTATCATTCTAAGCATGTGGTTTTTCTAACTTGTATATTTTCTTAACCAAGCTGGTCAGTGTCCTTCAATGAGTCAGACTTAGTAAACTGTATGTTGAATTAAAGGTTAGTGGTGTTAGTATATCCAATGTACTGTAAAGAAAGCTTTACATGTCTAGTCTTTGATCACGTGTTGTCTCAATTCTTTCTTCTTACAATATCTGTCTATATGCATGTTCTAGTTGACTTCAGTTGGAGATCACAGGGTTCATTAGTTTTGTGAACTTATAATAGAAACAACATGTAGAAAATTGTATGTGTGTTTCGTGATTCTATGCTTTCATTGGCGCAAATTAGAAAGGACACAAATATCTTGTAGACTGTGTTTTGAACATGTTACATCATTAATGTGGTCCGCAAAGATTTATGGTAAGTGTTGTTATTCTATAACAGTAATTAATCATACATAGTAAAATTTAAGTTGTTATCTCATTCAAACATGTTACATTAAATAATGTTTTTGACATTGATCACATGTGGAAGTACTGTCACAGCATATTTGTTAAAATCCTACACACAGTCCTTAAAGTAATGGTAATTAATTGAGGTTTTCATGTAAATACGTCTTTAATATGCGTGAATGTAGAACAGATTGCAAAATTGAGAAAATAAATAAATTATTAAAAAGAATTATTCTGTTCAGCTCTTTTATTATATATATATATATATATATATTTATATATCACTGAAAATCTTTAATAACTTGATTTAGTAAGATATAGACCTTTTAGGACATGAAATATAATTAATTAATTAATTAGTACTGAAAATCATCAAACACTTGATTGATTAAGTTTGCATTAAGATATAGTCCTTTTAGGACGAATTGCAATTGTATTAATTAATTGATAAATTACTACTGAAAGTCTTTAATCACGTGATTGGGTAAAGTTTAATTTTTTTACCGACCTTTTAGGACAGGAAATGTAATTAATAATTTAATGATAAGCATCGTTTCTAGGACAAATTAATTATAAATTATTTGATGAATTAGTTTTAATCGTCCTTTTTAGGACGATTTAATTATAAATAATTTAATTGATTAATGAATTAGTGATTAATTATAGACATGTATTGTATGAGTCATAGCAGCCGAGTAATTCATCCTCTACTATTATAATCCATTATTGCCGCCTGTTATGGCGGCTTAGCAACGTGCTCCCTGGTGGCAATCTTTGGGCATCATGGCCGCCGGTCATGGCGGTCTAGCAACGCGTCTTTGACATTTTGAAATTATGATGTCATCATTGTTATTGGTACCCCCCCCCCTCCCCCACGAGGCAGCCAATCAGTGTTTGGGGCTGAAATACTAACATAACTACACATGAGATCTGATTTACGTCGAACTGAATAAATATTTCACGAGATCTGATGTATAAAAATACTGTATTGTTTATCATGCGATACAGTTTCGCTAATGTTTTAGAGCTTACAATGGGACGACACATTTTGAGTCGCTACTGGACAAAGTTTTTGATTTGTTTATATAAATAAAGGGTTGTAATTCGACAGTACCGCTTTAATATCAAACTTATTCTATAGCAATCAAGTTAAAAGAAAAACAATATTATGTGTATGATAGGTCTCATATTTACTATACCTTGATGACCTTCTACTAATTCAGTAGACCGGGCGTGGCCGAGATTTTAGTTTGCCCAGACCGTGACTCCGAGAGTTCTTGATTCTCGTCCCGTTCCCGAAAATCTAAGAATGACGGTCATATCCCACCATTCGGTTCGACAAGAGTTTGCGGTGGGTGCTGTAGAGTAGCTACCTTCCCTCTAGTCTATCACTTGAAGATTAGGGACAGCTATGCGTATGCACATAATAGCTCTTGTATAGGTTTACGAAAAGATTCGAAATATATCTTCTATTATAAAAATACTCGCTTTTTGTTTGCTCGCACTTTACTATCTAAATGCGCATGCCCGCGCACTTAATTTCAACGGATGTAAACAAAAGGCGGATGTAAATGTACTTTAGTAGATATTTTGTACAACATATTAAAGGCTTATAAAATTTTTAAAAAGGTCTAACGTTAGGTCGTAGAATAACATTATAAGTTTATGTACTGATACTACTAAGTACAGTAAAGAAATGAAAAATGTGTTCAAAGTTGGTAAAAAGCACGTCTGTAACTAAACTTTATTATTATTTGCAACGTTTCGGGCAGAATCCCTTCGTCAGGCAGTTTAAACCATGTTACATAGAAAAAAAGGTTTGGATAGAATCGTTTAAGAGTTAATAATATAATTAGATTCTAAATTACGTACGTGCTGTCTGGAGCACGTTAACAAAAGTATTGTTAGAAGGAACATTGTTGAAGTGGTTCTATAACAGTTTTAAAAAATGGGAAAAAATATTAGAGTTACAGAAATTGGATTTAGAAATTAAAAGGACACAGAAAAGTAATAAACATAAATTTGAAAAATGATACAATAATAATTTAATAATAATAAAAATGATACAATAATAATATAATAAAAATAAAAATGATACAATAATAATATAATAATAATAAAAATGATACAATAATAATTTAATAATGATAAAAATGATACAATAATAATTTAATAATGATAAAAATGATACAATAATAATTTAATAATGATAAAAATGATACAATAATAATCTAATAATAATAAAAATGATACAATAATAATTTCATAATAATAATAAAAATGATACAATAATAATTTCTAATAATAATAAAAATGATACAATAATAATTTAATAATAATAAAAATGATACAATAATAATTTAATAATGATAAAAATGATACAATAATAATCTAATAATAATAAAAATGATACAATAATAATTTCATAATAATAATAAAAATGATACAATAATAATTTAATAATGATAAAAATGATACAATAATAATCTAATAATAATAAAAATGATACAATAATAATTTCATAATAATAATAAAAATGATACAATAATAATTTAATAATGATAAAAATGGTCAGGGAAATATGAATAGTCGGTGTCAAGTTAACAGTGGTGGCAAAGAAATATTAACAGAAGCTGTAATCATTTAATTAAAAGAAAAACGTTCATTAATTCCATTTTGTGCGAAAGAATCTAGTTTAAATACAAGTTTATGTTCTAGGCTTTCGCGATCATGCTTGTTGTGGGGGCATGTAATAAAACAAGTACGCTTATGTTGTCAATTCCGTTGTGATCCAGGGAGTTGGAGTGTTTAATAACTGGATGGCCGATGGTGCCGTTGCGTACAAGTCGGAGATGTTCACACAATCTGTCACCTAATCTGTATATAGTTTCCCCAATATAGTGTTATTTACATCTAGTACAGCGAATACAGTAAATAATGCACTCTGGTGTACAGGTGAATTGGGCGTGAAAGGTAAAGGTAGAACTGGACAGAGTCGATAAGTTGGTGATATAATAGCATGTGAGGCAAATAGTTCGTCCACATGAACGAGTTCCGTTAGTTTGTGTAAGTTAAGACACTTCAGTCTGTAATTTGGAATGTACTAGACGTACTCTCACGTTCTAAAGAAATTAAAGGTGGGGTGGTAAAAATGTCGTTAGATGTGTTGTCTCTTGTTTGTAAGGTAAAGTTGCTTTGGACAACTGTCGTTAGATGTGTTGACTATTGTTAGTAAGGTAAAGTTGCCTTGGACAATTGTCGTTAGATGTGTTGTCTCTTGTTAATAAGGTAAAGTTGCTTTGGACAATTGTCGTTAGATGTGTTGTATCTTGTTAGTAAGGTAAAGTTGCTTTGGACAATTGTCGTTAGATGTGTTGTCTCTTGTTAGTAAAGTAAAGTTGCTTTGGACAATTGTCGTTAGATGTGTTGTCTCTTGTTAGTAAGGTAATGTTGCATTGGACAATTGTCGTTAGATGTGTTGTATCTTGTTAGTAAGGTAAAGTGCTTTGGACAGTTGTCGTTAGATGTGTTGTATCTTGTTAGTAAGGTAAAGTGCTTTGGACAAGTTGTCGTTAGATGTGTTGTCTCTTGTTAGTAAGGTAAAGTTGCTTTGGACAATTGTCGTTAGATGTGTTGTCTATTTGTAGTAAGGTTGTGTTGTCTATTGTTAGTAAGGTAAAGTTGCTTTGGACAGTTGTCGTTAGATGTGTTGTCTCTTGTTAGTAAGGTAAAGTTGCTTTGGACAATTGTCGTTAGATGTGTTGTCTCTTGTTAGTAAGGTAAAGTTGCTTTGGAGAATTGTCGTTAGATGTGTTGTCTTTTGTTAATAAGGTAAAGTGCTTTGGACAATTGTCGTTAGATGTGTTGTCTATTGTTAGTAAGGTAAAGTTGCTTTGGACAATTGTCGTTAGATGTGTTGTCTCTTGTTAGTAAGGTAAAGTTGCTTTGGACAGTTGTCGTTAGATGTGTTGTCTCTTGTTAGTAAGGTAAAGTTGCTTTGGACAATTGTCGTTAGATGTGTTGTCTATTGTTAGTAAGGTAAAGTGCTTTGGACAATTGTCGTTAGATGTGTTGTCTCTTGTTAGTAAGGTAAAGTTGCTTTGGACAATTGTCGTTGGATGTGTTGTCTCTTGTTAGTAAGGTAAAGTTGCTTTGGACAATGTCTGGTTAAAAGATAGTATGTGAACGACTAAAAGAACTCTGTCACTATGTGGTTTGTTCTTAGAGTGGAGACAATCAGCTTGTGATAAACTGAATGTGGATAGTTTAGCCTTTTCAATGGTGTTTTCGGGATAGTTCTGATGTCTAAAATAATGAGTCACGTCGTTTGCTTTACACCTGATGTCAGTGTTGTCGGAGCATAGACGTCTCAAACGTAGTAACTGTCCCTTAGGGATAGCGTGTTTGTGCTCATAGGGATGGAAATAATTAAAGTGTAAATAGGAATGGTTATCAATGGGTTTTTAACTTATGTTGATAGTAAATCTAGATGTGGAAATGTCAATAGTGATGTTTAAAAAATATTAGCTTTATGACTAGAAATTTGGGAAGTAAATTTAAGAGATGGGGGATAAGTTTCGGCATAATAAATGAAAAGGTCAAGTTCATCTTTGTGTCCAGTAAAACGACCCAGAATATCGTCGATGTACCTGATAAAAAGATGGGAAGTTTTCGGGTGAAAAGTTGTTAATTTACATAACTAACAAAAACGTTTGCTAAGGGTTGACCCATTTTGGTTCCCATGTAACCTAGTGACTGTTGCTATGTTTTTCCGTAAAAATAAAAGGCATTGAAAGTCAGCACCAAGTCGGTCAGCCGAAGCATGGTGTCTGTGGAGTGATAAAATTACTTTGTTTAGAAAATGTTTAAGTGCAATCATTCCGTCGTTGTGTGGTATAACAGTGTATAGTGATTGGTTGTCCATAGTGAAAATAAATCACTGATGGTGGCAGAGTCGGACATGAGTACTGTCTTTAGCAAATGGAGGGGAGTTGTCTACTAGGGATTGAAAAATACTGTCGAAGTAAGTGGAGATCATTTCAGTGGGATAGTTACAGGCAGAGAATATGGGGCGTCCTAGACGCTCTTTTCTACTGTGTGCTTTTTAAGTACGGTAAAGTTTAGCCGTAACTAAAGCAAAAAAACGTACACAAGTAGTGTGTTAATTTATCTGTCAAACCTGTGCTTAATAAAGGCCTAACTAATATGTACTTATAGATTTCGGTGTCTGCGATTAGAATTCTTTTGTGTTATTCTGGATATCCTATATTCAAAGAAGTAATGTTCCAATAAGGATACTGATTTGCTAGCAAATGTTTTGCGTGTCTCTGCTAGAACACATATAATAATTAGTATAATTTACTATTCGTTTTCTTGGGTTTGTGTAGTTAAGGATTTGTTTGGAGTAACCTATACAAAAACAAACTTAAATAATTACAATTATTATTACTGTAAGAAGAGCTTGATAAGATGCTTCCATGTGCAGAAGAACCGATGACGTAAATGCTATGTTTAATTATACATATTGTTTGTGTATGTGTGTAGTAGGCAATTAAAGTTTGTGTTATGAAAGAAGTACAAAAAACATCTTATGGACTTGGATTTTTTAAATTATGTAACCTGTACGTAACGTATTTCTATCATTCACATGCAAGTGTAGGAAGAACGTGCGTGATTAGGGGGCACAAGATACTCTGGATAAACGTGTCTTGTTTACGAAGATTAAGAGGTCACTGATATATATATATTTTTTAACTACAAAGGGGAACACTTCAGTATTCTAGTTGTTTTTATCAGATTTTTTTTTATTACAGCCACAAATTCGTGAGAGCTTTCTTTATGCCTGAACTTTATGCAAATTAATCAAGCTCACCCCGTAACTGTTCTTGACAAGCGATTTGACAATCTAAATACCATCTCAACCTTTACTACATCTGTCGCATCCTAGTCGGCCTAAATATTGTATTGGGCAAAATACCTCTTTGGTAACGGACATGGCAATTATACGAGATGCAGGAACGAAATTAGGTCTGAAAATGGAGGGTGTAGTGTATGTTCTAAATATATAGAAATTAATATTTCATAATTATATGCACAGACCAAATCAATTGGGTTTTATAAGGAGTAAATCACAGCGGCACGAAATTAAAAACTCAGAAACACGAGTAAAAAAACAAAAATAAATCACAATTAATGATTTTGTGTATGAAAATCGTCGATACTTAATAATAATATAAAAATTAACTCTCATTAAACAAGTAAATAAAACTTGAAATAGATAATTGTATACAAAGGAAGAAAATACTCTTATCATCAAGTGTATGTATTGTGCTCAGCCTGTAGTGTGATTTTGAATATATTACTGATAGCGGAATTTCACGTTCTGTTGTGAGAGAATTTTCCTTTTGTCTGCAACTTTTCTAAATTCACCAACCACGATTTAATTTTCAAACTTCATTTAATATGTCCAAAGCCACAAAAATACATGTAATTTGGTACAGACATTTATTCTGTACTGTTTGTCTTTTTGTTGTTGTTGTTTGT